GTTGTGTGAATAGGTTTTTAATTGACAAAGCAACACTAAGATTTAGCCCTCGTTTGGCCCTAATTAAATTAAATTTCATTTTTTTCTCTTCTATTTTCAATTACACAATCTTCCATAAAATAATATTACAAGTAAATCGAAAAACTTTTTCCTCTTTTTCAATCACTTATTTTTTTTAAAAAAAATATTATTCCATTCATTTTAATTTGGAAAAATGCGAGCCAAACGGGTGCTCATTTCAACATTGCCCTTTTTTTCTTTTTTTTTGCATTCCAAATCATTTACCCTTTTCTTTAAATGGTATTCTCTACAATTCTTTCCACAGGAATGCACAAAAACATGACTTGAAATTCTAGGGTCTTGAGAGCTTACCATTTCAAGCGACATCTATATATGGGCTTTTCACTCAGGAATGACAATTCAAACTGTCAAAATCAAAAATCGAGATTAACTTAACAGAATGGGACGAAAAAATCGAACCGATAGCACAATATGGTATATATGGTATTTGATTTTAATACCTCGATTCAGGACGGGACATGTATGGTATTTACATCGTTACCTTGCCCTGAACCAATTATCCGTTAAAATAATTGGACTTTCCATCATTCTTTTTATGATTCTTTTCGGCCTAAAATTTTGGCCCATTACCCACCCACTAAATCCAACTAACCCAATAATCCTACACCCTACTAAACATATATGAAAATTGTTTGTTAAATTTGAATTTTGCAATTAGGAATTGAGATATTGTTTGTATTTTCATTTGGGATATTATTTTCTAAATTGGTTTAGTATTGTGTTTTTGTTTTCATAAATTTTTTTTCCAATTTGATGGCTTGACCTATGAAAAATAAATTATTTTCATAATTATTAACCGCTCAAACCGAGATACGAACCAAACCAAACCATACCAGCTTATGTGAGTGATTATGGTACGGTTATGGTATGACCAAAAAATTGGTGATTCGATGATGATTTTGGTCGAACCGATCCCAAACCAAATCATTGCCAACCCTATTTTCACTGTACATGTTGGTCCTACGAACAAAAACACTCGATCAAGATTCAGGGCCAAAAACGACTTGATAGCAGATTTAAGTCTGTGTACAGAATTTATCTTTGCAACTCCTTTTCAAGCTGTTGCCTTGACTCTGTTTTTGCCGCCAAGACAACATCATCAAGAAATCCCCTTTGTGGAAACTCGTCGGGCACAAGACTTCGATAAATCGCAAAATTTTCTTCAGCTTCCTTCTTTTTGTCCAGCAAGCTGTAAATGATTCCCTACAATGAATTTCATGAAGCAATTAATCAAGATTGCATAAAACAAATATAGTATCCTCCTTAGTCCCAATAATTTGTATTCAGACTATATATATATATATATATATACACGATGGTGCTAGTAGTATATAGGAGTATACCTAAGAATGTACAACCCCTCACATGAAGTGTAGGTCCACCCGAATAAGTGTTTTTTATTCCGGTGGACCCCACACCCCATGTAAGAGGGGTGTACACCCTTAAGTACATCTTATTATGTACCACTATATTAGTTCATGTATATAACCCAACAAACTATAATGTACCAATACGGACACATGTGTCCATCACGACAAGTGTCGGATATACCAATAGGCGATTTTTCCAAAAAAATACCGACACGGCACGTTGTCAATACTTTGATTAAATTCTTTAAAATTCTTCATTTATATAATATAATTTTAGTTTTATACTTGTTATTAATATTTCTTGTTTAAATCTTTTAAATATGAGTACATATTTAATATTTACTGATAACTGTGAGTTAACAAGATATAATTTTCTAATAAAAATGAAAATTGATCATTGTAGAGGGCCCGACATGTGTCTATGAAGTCGAACACGAACATGTCACCCTAATTGAAGTGTTTATACTACAGAGCCAACAAATAATAAACCCAAAGGAAATATGAAAAAGCTAGCCCAAAAAAGGTCTGTATAGTTCAAGTATCAGTTATAACCCGGACTCTCATGGAATGTTTGGTAAAGAGTATTTGATCGGATTAGATAAAATTAATACCATCGAGTGACTCGAGTCCAACACTAACTTCAACTGTCTTGCCTCCTTAAAACGGCGAGTCTTTCTCGCAATGCATTATCAGACTACCTTAGTTTTACACACTCTTCTCACCTCCGGCATTAACAAAAAGTCATCTTTCATAATCCTGGTCACAGGTTAGCAACTGTCCAAGCTTGGTTAACAGCATTTCGACCCAAAAATTACACTGTTAATTGCTTCATTTGAACAACCCAAAGGTAAATTAATTTCACATTACTCTTAAAATATGCCTCAGCAAATAAATTTCAACCAAGAAAAATTTACAGACATCAGCAGGCCCATACGGTCTTCCAGTCCAGATTCTTTCATCCTTGGCACAGAACCCTCAAGGCCTCAACCTATTGGTTTTGTGCACAAATAGTTCTTTTGGCCAGTTTCTTACATTTTGTCTGTTTAAAGACATTTGCAGTGCACAGGATATACATATTTTATTGAAAACACTCTTATACCCTCATTTTTAATTAAAAAGGAAATCTATGAAATAGAAAAGGAACTTCAATAAACAAAAAGTGCACTTTCTTCCCCAAAACCACAGAGCCAACGCTATCCTCTGGTCTTCCCCCCAACACCACCGCCACTACTTCCAGCCTCTCCCTCATACACCACAAAATTGGGATCACTGATGATGTCCATTGGCACTGGGTCTCTCTATCTTCAACTGCATAGACTACTGATGAGTTATTGATGCTTCGCCTACTTTTCTCTCCCCCGTTTTCTACTTCCTCTCCTGGCATGGCCATGGTTACTTTCCCTATTACTTTTATTTATCTCTTTCTGTTCTAACATCACTATTTCTCTTGAAAAGAATGAAGTTGGAACCTGTATGCCAGGGTTATCGTCACTTATGAACAACTGCCCATTTCTCTTTCTGTTTTGATTGGGACTGTAATTAATAGATACTTTCTGTTTCTTTCCTCCTCAATTTTTGGGTACCATCAATAATTTGATTGCTATTTGCAGCTCGAAGAATTGAACACTGGTCAAGGATTCAAACGAAAGGCAAACATCAATGGTAAATATATTGACGCAAATAGGAAAATGGATATTTCTGAAAATCCCATATGAGCAAGAACAAGTCTTGCTAATTGGAAGGATCCATTTTCGTTCTATAGCAATGTTCTAGACTAGTAGGGGTGCATTGGACTGCAGAATAGAGCAGCTATTGATTTAGAAGGTAACTGCCTCTGAAATTTAATCTTCGAACTTTTGGGCTGTTAATTAGTTTGATCTTCTCCGGAGAAGGGTACCAGCAGGGAAATTTGGAAGAAGCCACTCATGTACTTGGTAATCCCCAGCATTATTTTCATTTTACTAAGGATTTAGAAAAAACAAAAAGAAATTAACGCTGCATATTGAAGGTCTTTGATCTTTTTATCTCTATACTAGTTTCAGACCCACTAGAAACATCTACCATCAATGTTTGCTCCAAAGAATTTTATGGTGAAGGATGTGGTGTGTGACGACAAGTTTGTTTGATTTTTATGCGAAGAGTGAGATTTGGAGGCATCAGCGTAATAAATTCTATTACTTCGGGTGCTATGATGTTTGAGTTCATTACGGAAGGTAGTTCATTATATAGTTATGGTGGTGTATGTGGTGGTAGTTTTAGTAGTGTGGAAGTGGTGGGTGAAATATACACACACAAATATTTCTCTTGGGAATAGGGGAGGAGGATGATATGACTACAATATGTGTCAGTAATCAATATTAGAAAGTTAACTGCTAGAATGGACAAAACTGTCTAAAAGGACTATTTGTGCACAAAACCAATAGATTGAGGGGTCAGAGCAAAAACAGAAGAATCAAGACTAGAAGTGCACAGGGGCCAAATGTTAGGAATCAGTTGTGCCATTTTCCTGAAAAATTATGGAGAAAAGTAGAGAAATTTCAAAAATAAAATAAAATAAACAAGCAACACGAAGATTTGCTATTTCGCTAACCTGGCAAAGATAAGGTCGAAAATCTCTTGGATTCTCATTAACAAGAGCTCGAAAGTTCTCCAAGGCCTCCTCAAAGTCTCCCTGCAAATGAAAAATAAATTGGATTTCCTGAATACAGAAGTATGGTAATCAACAGTCCAGAATGATTTCAAAATTCAATCATTTGATAACCAGAGTGGAGTCTAATCCTAAACTATCGATATCAAAACAGCAACAATAAATCAAAACCATAATAAATAATGAGTAAGAAAATGATTTCTATTTTTTATTACCCTCCCTCCCTCTTTCTTTTTTGCTTTTTTCTTTCCTGGTTGGGGAGGGCAAAAGTGGGGACGGTTGGATGTTCTTGGATTTAGTATTTTTCCAAATCTTGATGTCTATGTTCCACAAAAAGGATAAATAAAGCCAATGTGGTTTAGAAACCTAACTTCACCATCAAGCAGCCAAAATTAACTGACAAAGATGATCAAACCGTTACCTTTACAATATGCATCTGCGCAATCAATATTCTTATGTTTCGCTCTTCATTGACTCTTTTTTCAAGACGAGCAACTTCCAAAGCCCTTTCCAACATCTCAAAAACAGCTGGGCCTTCTTGGTTCTTATGCATTACCATTGCCAGACCCTACAAAGAAAGGAAAGCAGTAATGGTCACGCAGTAAAGTTTCACTATTTCATTAGCAGTAATGGATAATGTGAGAGAGTATATCAATCATGAAGTTGAACTCTTAAAGTGCAAATTTCAAAATTTAGATGATCTTAAGTGATGGAATAACCCATGCAGTGTCATTAAATTTTCACCACGCCATAACGCAAGCAAGCAGGGGTATTTAGCATATGTGCACACATGATAATATAGTACATGGGAATGCATATTGAAAACCCAATACTCTTTAAGCTATATCGGAAAGAAAATTCATTTCATTTTTGACAGCATATAACTTCAAATCAGAAATTAAGAAAACATGTTAGGTCGTATCCCAACATGACTTCATAGGAAAGAACATCAATTAGCCACACGTGGGATCATACATCACCTCTTAATCTGTAAAAAGCACGTATATAATCCAAAAAATCACCATGACAGCAGAAAATAAATTGCAAAAATGTCCTCGGACAAATTTAGGATGAAAAAAGGGTTGAACTACAGTTTCAAGCATTTATTTGACCAAGAAGAAGTCACTATCCAGCAACTCAGAGCTAGCGAGTTAGCACAACAACTTAGTGTCTTGTTTTCTTTGCTGCTTCTTTTTGACCTTTTTTTACATAAGGTTCGCCTAACTTGCCTTATAGAGAAGAACTACTAGCTTCATTCATGAGTCAGTGCATCGTTTCTAATTGAAACAACAGCAAGTGGCAGAAATCAGTGTCAGTGCTAATTTTACTGTAAAAAAATTGTTGATTGAAGAGGGTAATGAGTGGGACATAAACATAAAAGGATTGTGACGAGAAACCTAACACCTGCAAAGGTCAAAAAAAGTTTATTCATGGATACCACTTCATATCCAATTTCTTTTTACAGGCAAGGTTCAACACAGCTGCGACCTTGATTATATTAAAATGAACACCATGTAAGAAATTACCCTTCAGAACCATTTGGGCAACTTCCATATGTATCCACTCATGAGAAGTCAAAATAATTAGACTATAAAAATCACCGATCTTCCTTAATTTTTCATTCATCTCCAAATAAACTAAATAACCCCTTTCCCTCTTTTGCCCAAGCAAGGTTAAGCAATCACAGTCATCGAACTCAGGCAAGGAAAAGATAAATTCTGCCCTTTGAACTCATTGTTTTGCAACGTACATAAACACAAGAATTTTTAATTTCACGAGCCTAGAGACTAGATAATGTAGGAAGCAAGCATCTCTCCTTAGATAACCATATAAATATACCACAGTATTTCAAGCTTACAAGTTATAATAGTCATAGCTTTTGTTTAACAAGTGAGTTGACAAGGGAAAAAAAATTAGTCACACAAACCTCTTTAATGGAAACTTGTCAATTTAAACAAACAAGAAGTTCTTCCATATTCTGGGAAGTATTTCCCATTCAACTATTCCCCGGGGTTGGGACCCATGTGCATATGTCATTCTTCATATACCTCTACTGGTTTGAAGGAGGTAAGTTAATCAATCAAATAATAGAATCCTCCTTCCAATGGTATCCACAATAGTACTGTGCAAAAGTGTATCTCATCAAGCTGTGCAAGGCTGAAGGCATTGCGTAACTTGCATTGAAATCAAGCCAAGTGATACTACTTTATGTAAATGTGCTTTTACAATCAAGCACAGCTATGGTAGATGTATTCATCATATGCGTGCATAAGGGATACAGTAAATATTCAGTTTCTGCAAGCAACAATTAGAAGCACAGAAGCATGCCCAAAATAAGATGGCAGAATAATAGTCAAGCAGAATGCAAAAGAGAAAAGGAACAAAAATAGTCTGGGATGTAGAAATCTAGAAAAAGTGGAAATACATTGATTTCACATCTGAAGTCGGTTGGGACATATTAAATCATAATGTAAAATCAGGCCAGACTAGGTAGGTAGAGTTATCAGATACCAAAACTAGATCCTTTAAGCCATAGACAATCACAAATAATATCACGTTCAGAAACTATATAATTGAATAACATATACATCAGAGAGTTGTACTATTAAACAATTATATCTTCTTTTCTCCTTCAAACCCAGGGAAGTGAAACTTCAGCTGAAGGATACCTTTTATCTCTAAAAGATAAGTGCCCTCATAATTCATATGGTCTTGGTTTTTCTAACACCGTGTACAGGGAATAAATCATGGAACAAGTCTTTGAACGCGAAATTTTATAAGGTCTTTATCACTAGTCAAAATGAAAAAAAAGGAGCAGCTCTAATGTTTTTGTTTAAAATGCCTATTTTAAACGTCAAATGTGAATTAGCCGCGTTAAAGATGGCGTTCTTCTCCATTTCATAGCCTCCACCACATGTTACCCGCTCCTCCCATCTGTCCTATGACTTGGGTTTCAATTAACTTAGATATAAAATTTACAGGTAAATTATTAATCATGTATGGACGGGTCAAGAATTTCCGTATCTTCAGAAAAACTGAATAGACAAATATGTAATTAGATGAAAGCACATAACATAAAAGGGGTAGAAATATCATACATGCAAAGCTCTAAGTAGGAGAGGCCTCTGCTTGAGTATGTTTTTGAACAAGCTCTTGGCCATACCCAAATTCCCCAACATTTCGTAACAAAGAGCCTGCAGAAGCCTCCACTCCATTTCACTAGGTTCAATTTTAATCAATCTCTCCACATATTCCAAAGCCTCCTTAGTCTTTCCACTCCTCATCTTTACATCAACGACCATCTTCAGAGCCACAACATCTTTTGGATTTTCTTGCACAAGCTTCACAAACATCACCTCTTCTTCAGTTGCACTGCTTTTCCCATCCCAGTCCTCTCTTTTTCGATCAAGACGCTCGGTTTCTTGAACAGGCTGTGCCAGTATAGGCCTAGATTTTAAAGAGCCCACGATAACAAGTGATCCCAGTAATACTGTTGCAATATTTTTAACAAGAATCTTGGAAATATCGTTCTGGGGTGGTAATAAACAGCTAAAAAGAGAAAATTTTGTTGTGGGTGCTGGTGAAATGTGGAGTTTTTTGGTTACTATGGGATGGAATTTGGATCTTTTGGAGTTGTGAAAAAGAGGAAGGGAGCCGCGAGTATGGATTTTGAAGGGATTTTGTGGACATAGAAAATTGGCAGCGGGATCAAGGTTACAAGAAGCAGAGAGTGAGGTACTGTGGAGAGATGAAACAGCCATTATGGAACCAGTAACTGAGGAACGAAGCGCGGTGAGGTTTTGTGATCACAGGGTTTAGGTTTTCTTTTTTTTTCTTTTTTTAGAGGCCCAAACCTTTGCCTCCATTATGAAATACCCCTATCCTTTCATTTTAGTGAAAAAGCTCCTCCCTAAATGGTCCAAACCTTTTGGAAAGCCTCCTACTGTCCAATTCGATTAGTTTAGACCTTAAATGCACTAAAGAGACCAAAATTAAAAAATGGAAAAATTGTAACTACAGTCTCAAACTTTTTAATTTATTGTAGATTACATCCAAACTTCTTATTTGTGTCACACTGTCCAAACTTTTAATTTCGTTGCAGCAAAAGTTATTTTTGAAAAATGGAAAAATTGATTGATTCCATCTGTTCTACCATTAGTTGATCGGAGAAGTTATTTTTGACCATTTTTAGTCAATTCTAAAAGAGTAAAATGATAAATTTACATTTTCTTTAAATAAAATAATTAAAAAAAAAAGGAGAATCTAGCGTGACTGGGGAAGACGATGAAGTTTTGATGGGTGAGATGATTAGGTTTATATAAATTGAAAGGTTTGGAACAATAAATGCAATTTTTTTTATAAAAAAAAGTTTTGGCTATCTTCAATGATTTATCGCATAAACTAATTGAATTAGACAATAGAGGGCATTTCGCAAGGTTTGGACCATCTAGGGGGTTTTCTACAAAAATAAAAGGATATAGAATATTCCATAGTAGAGCAAATGTCAAGGAAGTTCTGCATGAATTACCCATTTATTAAAAAATAATGATATTCGTAGTCGTTCATTGCGATAGTCGCTCCCACTTGACATCCTACATGGCGGCTTGTGAGTTAATGTATTAATGTGATAGTTTTTTGCCTCATATATTAAGCCCTTGTTTGATCTACATTACTTGAAAATGAAAATGGGAAAATAGTATTTTTTAGAAAAATGAGTGGTTGAAAAAGAATGAAAAATTTTCGATTTCTATGTAATATTATTTTATGGAAGATTGTGTGGTTGAAAATAGGAAAGAGAAAAATATAATGTAATGTAATTTAATTTAATGGGGATCAAACAGGGGCTAAATCACTAACTGTCACATAAATTTCACGTAGGGCGACTGCCATAGTGAGTGATTGCAAATAGAATTGTTTTTTGTTAAATCTTCGTCACTTTTCTCCCATGGTTTCTTTGAACCTCCTACTCAGGGAGATACTCAGTTTTCATGTTTTTAATTAAATTTTATCAAATATGCTTAAGGTCCGTTTAGCAAATTTTTTTACTTTTGAACATGTTTGGACAATTTTCTATAATATTTCGTTCAGCTAGAAGAACTTCCAAAGGGAGCTAATCAAAATGACATCCTTGTGAGACTTTTTTACAAGACGCGCAAATCTCGCTAAATGGGCAATTATTCTTTTACTCGAGTTTTTTATATATACCCCTTGTTTGAACCCCATTTTAGGAGGGAGAATGAATTTTTGAATAGTGTATTGATGAAAAATGTGTGGTTAAAAAATAAGAATTTTTTATTTATTTATGTATAATGTTATTTTATTGAAGAATGTGTGGTTAAAATAATGTTAAAATACTGTTGAAAAATAATTTTTTTTTTCAAAAGAATGAGATTCAAACAAGGGTATGGTATATGTTTGAAAAAATAGGTGTTAGCCTATTTTCACTATTCCTAATATTTTGCGTTTAAAAAACTCTAATATTTGTTTATGTCAGAATAATAAATTTTGTTGGGATAAAATTTGCCTTTTATGAATGTAAATTGCTTCTAAAACTAATGCAATAAATAATACTCAGCACTAATTAAAATTATCGATTCTATTTGAATAATTTGTGTGAAAATGATGTTGGCAGTACAATTATATTACTAATTTGACAATGATTTAGCCAATGCTTATGGTAGTATGTACATAACATGAATAATAACGAAATCGCATTTAACCCCTATTTGATTTATTTAAAAAGTTTAATAAAAATTTAAGTCAAACTCGAAAATTAATTTTAACCACACATTTGATGAATCCATGACTTTTCAACCATAAATATCATCAACTTCAATCAAAATTTTGTTTTTTTTTTTTTTTTAACATATCCAAACAGGGGCTGAATCTAAAGTTATTAATTTGTATCCACGTTGCCTGTGCATTATCCTTCTTATACCATATTAAACAAATTTCAAAGTAATTTTAAATTTTTAAGCAAAACTATTATATCCATTCATGGTGGTGTATCATCTTCCATCTCTAATCTAGATCAGCAAAAAATTTAATAAGATAACTTGAGAGTACTAGACAATATTAAAAACCAATAGAAACCATTGTACTATCCCGACCTGTCTTGTCTTGTCTCGTCATGTTCGAAATTGCAGTGACCAACACCGTTAAATATGCAGCCAACAAGTTGAATAAGTTTCAACCAAGTTTTAGTACATTACACCTCCCATTATAGACTAGATTCTATAGTATACGACCTTACATCTCCGCAGCAAATGATTTACCACAGCCACAGGTTTGTGTAGCATTTGGGTTCTTGAAATTAAAGCCTCCCCCAATCAGTGCATCACTGTAATCCAGTTGCATACCATAAAGGAAGAGAAGGCTTTTTGGATCACAAACTGCATGGTCAGAACAAAAGAAAAAGATCAGCAGCAAAATAGAAAAGACAAAAAGAGCAGCAGGGCAAAGAAATAGCATCTAAAGGTGAAATTTCATATTGGTCATCGAATTTCACTGAACTTAAACTTGATTAGAATTTGATCGACCAATCTATGTTTGTTAGTCAAAAAAGACGTGGCAGTTTTAGTTATTTGCCAACTAGGCTGCCAACTAGGCTGCCGGTCAGCTTTTTCTTAGTCAAACTAATAGACATAGGCAAGATCGCCAAATTGTATCAAACATTAAGTCCGGTCTGATTGTAAAAAAGTTCAAGTTCAGCTACCAACTTGGAACAAAATAAAGTTAATGACGAACATGAAAATTTGCTAAAAGTTCAGTGCTCAGTGTATAGTTTTATACCTGTTGTGTGTATTAGCTTTGCTGATAATGGAAAAACTTCAATGAAGGCATCTTGTGATATAGCATAACATGGAACGAACAAAAGAAATTTCAAAGAAGTATTTATTATGTCTTTAACTTCCAAATACTAACTTCCTCAACAAGTATACAGCACATAGAAATTTCAAGTAGGGACTCAAATTCAAGGTTTTGATTGCACCATCGTTATCAAAAATAGTAATGCTAGAGAAAAGAAAAAAAGAATGAACTCTTTTACCATAGCCATTCTTCATAAACGATGAAGTAACAATTGCACAATATGCAATACTCTTCATGCTGTTAGTAATCTGATGCTCAAATGCTATATTTATGTATAGATCTTATCAATCAAAATGTATCCTTTCATTTGTTCTACATGTTAATGCCCAATTCAAACAACTTTTGCTTCAAGAAATTTGGATTAGTTCATTAAGAAGATGGACTTGTTTCAAGCCCACATTGTGAGTCAGATGCTATCCCCCATTCCAATATCTGATAAATCAAACCTTTTATACTACAAATTATAGAAGGCCAATTTCTAGAGAAAACAATATCAGGTTCAGGTTTGCATTTTAAAGGTATTATCCTCACTAATCACCAAATGCAGGATATTAGGGAAAGGAAAGGATAGCTCATTTTCCATGATTAAACATAATATCCTGTCACTGTACTGTAGGGCCATAAGGAAAGAATTCGTATTTATTTTTTTCATCGACTGGATGCCATTGTTTACTGCCCAACTAACACCGACAGCAGGTTCCACTCAAGTACAGACAAGTGCAACAGGACAGAAGAATTCAATTTCAAATTCCTCATATGGAATTAAATGAACTTGCAGTCATACCTATAACAAATCCATTGTATTTGATAATAGAATCATCGGGTCTAGCGTTTTCTCTGTTCTCAAAATCCATAGTATAAGACATGCCAGAGCATCCTCCTTGTTTGACACCAATTCTTAGACATAAATCTTCACTTCTTTCAGTCCTCAACTTATTGAAGTGCTTCAATGCATTGTCGGTCAATGAAATTGCAGGTGCAAGTGCTCCAGATGTAGGTGGTGCTAGAACACAAAAGCAGGTTATTAAGAAACTCAAAAACAACAGAGAAAGGCAGAATTCCAGCACATTAGCATACAGGTAACCATAAGTTCGTCCATGCAGAACTGATAACATGTAAACTATGCATAAACAAATGGCTTAAATAAGAGAACTATACGATATTACATTCAGTTCTCTGATGGTTTTCAATAAATTCCAAGAAGTTTAGTTTCATAAACAGCTTGAATGTTCATCATGAAGTTTAGTTTCATAAACAGCTTGAATGTTCATCATGAAGTTTAGTTTCATAAACAGCTTGAATGTTCATCATGAAGTTTAGTTTCATAAACAGCTTGAATGTTCATCATGAAGTTTAGTTTCATAAACAGCTTGAATGTTCATCATGAAGTTTAGTTTCATAAACAGCTTGAATGTTCATCATGAAGTTTAGTTTCATAAACAGCTTGAATATTCATCTTTTCTATGTTCTCTCACAATTCAGAAAGTCATTAGTATGGTAGGTTCTTCATTCTGATGGTTCTTGTGGTTCATGAGTCCTGGTGCAGCTCAATATAAATTATTTACCATATTTAAGAAGGTATTAGGTAGAACACGTATAGAAAGAATCTATAATGTCTTATATGTCAACATACGAACAAAAGGATTGGATGTAACTCAATCAAACTGGTTTCTGGTTGTGCATCATTTAACTCTAGGCTTCATCTTTTTGTCATTTCAATTAAGATGGGAAACATGACTTGTTTTTAAAATCCATTTGAGGTCAAAAATATCTTCCTCGTAGGTAAGAAATTGAGTTGTCAACATCCTTCAAGCATACGATGGATATGATCTAGGTGATGTGTGTTGACAGGTTTTGTTTGTTCAGAAAATCCCTAATGCAAAGAACCAAGAATTTACAACCTTGTCACTTCCTCCATAAAAATGGATAGTAGATAGTTTACAAAAAAATGCACATAAGGTTTTGAAACACAATTAAATGAGATAAACCAACCCGTATACAACTGGTGAAATTTGATGGCATTTTGAGAACAATGTCTAAAGATTATGTATGCCAATCATTAAAAAAAGGGTTATTTGGGATACAATCATTATTTTTGTGTGTGTACGAGTGTATTGGTGGGATCTTTTATTTTATTTATTTTACTTTTTTGGGGGGTGGGGGGGGGGGGGGGGGAAAGGGGGGAAAATCCTCAATTTTTGGGTACCATCAATAATTTGATTGCTATTTGCAGCTCGAAGAATTGAACACTGGTCAAGGATTCAAACGAAAGGCAAACATCAATGGTAAATATATTGACGCAAATAGGAAAATGGATATTTCTGAAAATCCCATATGAGCAAGAACAAGTCTTGCTAATTGGAAGGATCCATTTTCGTTCTATAGCAATGTTCTAGACTAGTAGGGGTGCATTGGACTGCAGAATAGAGCAGCTATTGATTTAGAAGGTAACTGCCTCTGAAATTTAATCTTCGAACTTTTGGGCTGTTAATTAGTTTGATCTTCTCCGGAGAAGGGTACCAGCAGGGAAATTTGGAAGAAGCCACTCATGTACTTGGTAATCCCCAGCATTATTTTCATTTTACTAAGGATTTAGAAAAAACAAAAAGAAATTAACGCTGCATATTGAAGGTCTTTGATCTTTTTATCTCTATACTAGTTTCAGACCCACTAGAAACATCTACCATCAATGTTTGCTCCAAAGAATTTTATGGTGAAGGATGTGGTGTGTGACGACAAGTTTGTTTGATTTTTATGCGAAGAGTGAGATTTGGAGGCATCAGCGTAATAAATTCTATTACTTCGGGTGCTATGATGTTTGAGTTCATTACGGAAGGTAGTTCATTATATAGTTATGGTGGTGTATGTGGTGGTAGTTTTAGTAGTGTGGAAGTGGTGGGTGAAATATACACACACAAATATTTCTCTTGGGAATAGGGGAGGATGATGATATGGCTACAATATGTGTCAGTAATCAATATTAGAAAGTTAACTGCTAGAATGGACAAAACTGTCTAAAAGGACTATTTGTGCACAAAACCAATAGATTGAGGGGTCAGAGCAAAAACAGAAGAATCAAGACTAGAAGTGCACAGGGGCCAAATGTTAGGAATCAGTTGTGCCATTTTCCTGAAAAATTATGGAGAAAAGTAGAGAAATTTCAAAAATAAAATAAAATAAACAAGCATCACGAAGATTTGCTATTTCACTAACCTGGCAAAGATAAGGTCGAAAATCTCTTGGATTCTCATTAACAAGAGCTTGAAAGTTCTCCAAGGCCTCCTCAAAGTCTCCCTGCAAATGAAAAATAAATTGGATTCCCTGAATACAGAAGTATGGTAATCAACAGTCCAGAATGATTTCAAAATTCAATCATTTGATAACCAGAGTGGAGTCTAATCCTAAACTATCGATATCAAAACAGCAACAATAAATCAAAACCATAATAAATAATGAGTAAGAAAATGATTTCTATTTTTTATTACCCTCCCTCCCTCTTTCTTTTTTGCTTTTTTCTTTCCTGGTTGGGGAGGGCAAAAGTGGGGAAGGTTGGATGTTCTTGGATTTAGTATTTTTCCAAATCTTGATGTCTATGTTCCACAAAAAGGATAAATAAAGCCAATGTGGTTTAGAAACCTAAATTCACCATCAAGCAGCCAAAATTAACTGACAAAGATGATCAAACCGTTACCTTTACAATATGCATCTGCGCAATCAATATTCTTATGTTTCGCTCTTCATTGACTCTTTTTTCAAGATGAGCAACTTCCAAAGCCCTTTCCAACATCTCAAAAACAGCTGGGCCTTCTTGGTTCTTATGCATTACCATTGCCATACCCTACAAAGAAAGGAAAGCAGTAATGGTCACGCAGTAAAGTTTCACTATTTCATTAGCAGTAATGGATAATGTGAGAGAGTATATCAATCATGAAGTTGAACTCTTAAAGTGCAAATTTCAAAATTTAGATGATCTTAAGTGATGGAATAACCCATGCAGTGTCATTAAATTTTCACCACGCCATAACGCAAGCAAGCAGGGGTATTTAGCATATGTGCACACATGATAATATAGTACATGGGAATGCATATTGAAAACCCAATACTCTTTAAGCTATATCGGAAAGAAAATTCATTTCATTTTTGACAGCATATAACTTCAAATCAAAAATTAAGAAAACATGTTAGGTCGTATCCCAACATGACTTCATAGGAAAGAACATCAATTAGCCACACGTGGGATCATACATCACCTCTTAATCTGTAAAAAGCACGTATATAATCCAAAAAATCACCATGACAGCAGAAAATAAATTGCAAAAATGTCCTCGGACAAATTTAGGATGAAAAAGGGGTTGAACTACAGTTTCAAGCATTTATTTGACCAAGAAGAAGTCACTATCCAGCAACTCAGAGCTAGCGAGTTAGCACAACAACTTAGTGTCTTGTTTTCTTTGCTGCTTCTTTTTGACCTTTTTTTACATAAGGTTCGCCTAACTTGCCTTATAGAGAAGAACTACTAGCTTCATTCATGAGTCAGTGCATCGTTTCTAATTGAAACAACAGCAAGTGGCAGAAATCAGTGTCAGTGCTAATTTTACTGTAAAAAAATTGTTGATTGAAGAGGGTAATGAGTGGGACATAAACATAAAAGGATTGTGACGAGAAACCTAACACCTGCAAAGGTCAAAAAAATTTTATTCATGGATACCACTTCATATCCAATTTCTTTTTACAGGCAAGGTTCAACACAGCTGCGACCTTGATTATATTAAAATGAACACCATGTAAGAAATTACCCTTCAGAACCATTTGGGCAACTTCCATATGTATCCACTCATGAGAAGTCAAAATAATTAGACTATAAAAATCACCGATCTTCCTTAATTTTTCATTCATCTCCAAATAAACTAAATAACCCCTTTCCCTCTTTTGCCCAAGCAAGGTTAAGCAATCACAGTCATCGAACTCAGGCAAGGAAAAGATAAATTCTGCCCTTTGAACTCATTGTTTTGCAACGTACATAAACACAAGAATTTTTAATTTCACGAGCCTAGAGACTAGATAATGTAGGAAGCAAGCATCTCTCCTTAGATAACCATATAAATATACCACAGTATCCATATAAATATACCACAGTATTTCAAGCTTACAAGTTATAATAGTCATAGCTTTTGTTTAACAAGTGAGTTGACAAGGGAAAAAAAATTAGTCACACAAACCTCTTTAATGGAAACTTGTCAATTTAAACAAACAAGAAGTTCTTCCATATTCTGGGAAGTATTTCCCATTCAACTATTCCCCGGGGTTGGGACCCATGTGCATATGTCATTCTTCATATACCTCTACTGGTTTGAAGGAGGTAAGTTAATCAATCAAATAATAGAATCCTCCTTCCAATGGTATCCACAATAGTACTGTGCAAAAGTGTATCTCATCAAGCTGTGCAAGGCTGAAGGCATTGCGTAACTTGCATTGAAATCAAGCCAAGTGATACTACTTTATGTAAATGTGCTTTTACAATCAAGCACAGCTATGGTAGATGTATTCATCATATGCGTGCATAAGGGATACAGTAAATATTCAGTTTCTGCAAGCAACAATTAGAAGCACAGAAGCATGCCCAAAATAAGATGGCAGAATAATAGTCAAGCAGAATGCAAAAGAGAAAAGGAACAAAAATAGTCTGGGATGTAGAAATCTAGAAAAAGTGGAAATACATTGATTTCACATCTGAAGTCGGTTGGGACATATTAAATCATAATGTAAAATCAGGCCAGACTAGGTAGGTAGAGTTATCAGATACCAAAACTAGATCCTTTAAGCCATAGACAATCACAAATAATATCACGTTCAGAAACTATATAATTGAATAACATATACATCAGAGAGTTGTACTATTAAACAATTATATCTTCTTTTCTCCTTCAAACCCAGGGAAGTGAAACTTCAGCTGAAGGATACCTTGTATCTCTAAAAGATAAGTGCCCTCATAATTCATATGGTCTTGGTTTTTCTAACACCGTGTACAGGGAATAAATCATGGAACAAGTCTTTGAACGCGAAATTTTATAAGGTCTTTATCACTAGTCAAAATGAAAAAAAAGGAGCAGCTCTAATGTTTTTGTTTAAAATGCCTATTTTAAACGTCAAATGTGAATTAGCCGCGTTAAAGATGGCGTTCTTCTCCATTTCATAGCCTCCACCACATGTTACCCGCTCCTCCCATCTGTCCTATGACTTGGGTTTCAATTAACTTAGATATAAAATTTACAGGTAAATTATTAATCATGTATGGACGGGTCAAGAATTTCCGTATCTTCAGAAAAACTGAATAGACAAATATGTAATTAGATGAAAGCACATAACATAAAAGGGGTAGAAATATCATACATGCAAAGCTCTAAGTAGGAGAGGCCTCTGCTTGAGTATGTTTTTGAACAAGCTCTTGGCCATACCCAAATTCCCCAACATTTCGTAACAAAGAGCCTGCAGAAGCCTCCACTCCATTTCACTAGGTTCAATTTTAATCAATCTCTCCACATATTCCAAAGCCTCCTTAGTCTTTCCACTCCTCATCTTTACATCAACGACCATCTTCAGAGCCACAACATCTTTTGGATTTTCTTGCACAAGCTTCACAAACATCACCTCTTCTTCAGTTGCACTGCTTTTCCCATCCCAGTCCTCTCTTTTTCGATCAAGACGCTCGGTTTCTTGAACAGGCTGTGCCAGTATAGGCCTAGATTTTAAAGAGCCCACGATAACAAGTGATCCCAGTAATACTGTTGCAATATTTTTAACAAGAATCTTGGAAATATCGTTCTGGGGTGGTAATAAACAGCTAAAAAGAGAAAATTTTGTTGTGGGTGCTGGTGAAATGTGGAGTTTTTTGGTTACTATGGGATGGAATTTGGATCTTTTGGAGTTGTGAAAAAGAGGAAGGGAGCCGCGAGTATGGATTTTGAAGGGATTTTGTGGACATAGAAAATTGGCAGCGGGATCAAGGTTACAAGAAGCAGAGAGTGAGGTACTGTGGAGAGATGAAACAGCCATTATCGAACCAGTAACCGAGGAACGAAGCGCGGTGAGGTTTTGTGATCACAGGGTTTAGGTTTTCTTTTTTTTCTTTTTTTAGAGGCCCAAACCTTTGCCTCCATTATGAAATACCCCTATCCTTTCCTTTTAGTGAAAAAGCTCCTCCCTAAATGGTCCAAACCTTTTGGAAAGCCTCCTACTGTCCAATTCGATTAGTTTAGACCTTAAATGCACTAAAGAGACCAAAATTAAAAAATGGAAAAATTGTAACTACAGTCTCAAACTTTTTAATTTATTGTAGATTACATCCAAACTTTTTATTTGTATCACACTGTCCAAACTTTTTATTTCGTTGCAGCAAAAGTTATTTTTGAAAAATGGAAAATTTGATTGATTCCATCTGTTCTACCATTAGTTGATCGGAGAAGTTATTTTTGACCATTTTTAGTCAATTCTAAAAGAGTAAAATGATAAATTTACATTTTCTTTAAATAAAATAATTAAAAAAAAAAAAGGAGAATCTAGTGTGACTGGGGAAGACGATGAAGTTTCGATGGGTGAGATGATTGGGTTTATATAAATTGAAAGGTTTGGAACAATAAATGCAATTTTTTTTTTAAAAAAAAGTTTTGGCTATCTTCAATGATTTATCGCATAAACTAATTGAATTAGACAATAGAGGACTTTTGAACATGTTTGGACAATTTTCTATAATATTTCGTTCAGCTAGAAGAACTTCCAAAGGGAGCTAATCAAAATGACATCCTTGTGAGACTTTTTTACAAGACGCGCAAATCTCGCTAAATGGGCAATTATTCTTTTACTCGAGTTTTTTATATATACCCCTTGTTTGAACCCCATTTTAGGAGGGAGAATGAATTTTTGAATAGTGTATTGATGAAAAATGTGTGGTTAAAAAATAAGAATTTTTTATTTATTTATGTATAATGTTATTTTATTGAAGAATGTGTGGTTAAAATAATGTTAAAATACTGTTGAAAAATAATTTTTTTTTTCAAAAGAATGGGATTCAAACAAGGGTATGGTATATGTTTGAAAAAATAGGTGTTAGCCTATTTTCACTATTCCTAATATTTTGCGTTTAAAAAATTCTAATATTTGTTTATGTCAGAATAATAAATTTTGTTGGGATAAAATTTGCCTTTTATGAATGTAAATTGCTTCTAAAACTAATGCAATAAATAATACTCAGCACTAATTAAAATTATCGATTCTATTTGAATAATTTGTGTGAAAATGATGTTGGCAGTACAATTATATTACTAATTTGACAATGATTTAGCCAATGCTTATGGTAGTATGTACATAACATGAATAATAACGAAATCGCATTTAACCCCTATTTGATTTATTTAAAAAGTTTAATAAAAATTTAAGTCAAACTCGAAAATTAATTTTAACCACACATTTGATGAATCCATGACTTTTCAACCATAAATATCATCAACTTCAATCAAAATTTTGTTTTTTTTTTTTTTTTAACATATCCAAACAGGGGCTGAATCTAAAGTTATTAATTTGTATCCACGTTGCCTGTGCATTATCCTTCTTATACCATATTAAACAAATTTCAAAGTAATTTTAAATTTTTAAGCAAAACTATTATATCCATTCATGGTGGTGTATCATCTTCCATCTCTAATCTAGATCAGCAAAAAATTTAATAAGATAACTTGAGAGTACTAGACAATATTAAAAACCAATAGAAACCATTGTACTATCCCGACCTGTCTTGTCTTGTCTCGTCATGTTCGAAATTGCAGTGACCAACACCGTTAAATATGCAGCCAACAAGTTGAATAAGTTTCAACCAAGTTTTAGTACATTACACCTCCCATTATAGACTAGATTCTATAGTATACGACCTTACATCTCCGCAGCAAATGATTTACCACAGCCACAGGTTTGTGTAGCATTTGGGTTCTTGAAATTAAAGCCTCCCCCAATCAGTGCATCACTGTAATCCAGTTGCATACCATAAAGGAAGAGAAGGCTTTTTGGATCACAAACTGCATGGTCAGAACAAAAGAAAAAGATCAGCAGCAAAATAGAAAAGACAAAAAGAGCAGCAGGGCAAAGAAATAGCATCTAAAGGTGAAATTTCATATTGGTCATCGAATTTCACTGAACTTAAACTTGATTAGAATTTGATCGACCAATCTATGTTTGTTAGTCAAAAAAGACGTGGCAGTTTTAGTTATTTGCCAACTAGGCTGCCGGTCAGCTTTTTCTTAGTCAAACTAATAGACATAGGCAAGATCGCCAAATTGTATCAAACATTAAGTCCGGTCTGATTGTAAAAAAGTTCAAGTTCAGCTACCAACTTGGAACAAAATAAAGTTAATGACGAACATGAAAATTTGCTAAAAGTTCAGTGCTCAGTGTATAGTTTTATACCTGTTGTGTGTATTAGCTTTGCTGATAATGGAAAAACTTCAATGAAGGCATCTTGTGATATAGCATAACATGGAACGAACAAAAGAAATTTCAAAGAAGTATTTATTATGTCTTTAACTTCCAAATACTAACTTCCTCAACAAGTATACAGCACATAGAAATTTCAAGTAGGGACTCAAATTCAAGGTTTTGATTGCACCATCGTTATCAAAAATAGTAATGCTAGAGAAAAGAAAAAAAGAATGAACTCTTTTACCATAGCCATTCTTCATAAACGATGAAGTAACAATTGCACAATATGCAATACTCTTCATGCTGTTAGTAATCTGATGCTCAAATGCTATATTTATGTATAGATCTTATCAATCAAAATGTATCCTTTCATTTGTTCTACATGTTAATGCCCAATTCAAACAACTTTTGCTTCAAGAAATTTGGATTAGTTCATTAAGAAGATGGACTTGTTTCAAGCCCACATTGTGAGTCAGATGCTATCCCCCATTCCAATATCTGATAAATCAAACCTTTTATACTACAAATTATAGAAGGCCAATTTCTAGAGAAAACAATATCAGGTTCAGGTTTGCATTTTAAAGGTATTATCCTCACTAATCACCAAATGCAGGATATTAGGGAAAGGAAAGGATAACTCATTTTCCATGATTAAACATAATATCCTGTCACTGTACTGTAGGGCCATAAGGAAAGAATTCGTATTTATTTTTTTCATCGACTGGATGCCATTGTTTACTGCCCAACTAACACCGACAGCAGGTTCCACTCAAGTACAGACAAGTGCAACAGGACAGAAGAATTCAATTTCAAATTCCTCATATGGAATTAAATGAACTTGCAGTCATACCTATAACAAATCCATTGTATTTGATAATAGAATCATCGGGTCTAGCGTTTTCTCTGTTCTCAAAATCCATAGTATAAGACATGCCAGAGCATCCTCCTTGTTTGACACCAATTCTTAGACATAAATCTTCACTTCTTTCAGTCCTCAACTTATTGAAGTGCTTCAATGCATTGTCGGTCAATGAAATTGCAGGTACAAGTGCTCCAGATGTAGGTGGTGCTAGAACACAAAAGCAGGTTATTAAGAAACTCAAAAACAACAGAGAAAGGCAGAATTCCAGCACATTAGCATACAGGTAACCATAAGTTCGTCCATGCAGAACTGATAACATGTAAACTATGCATAAACAAATGGCTTAAATAAGAGAACTATACGATATTACATTCAGTTCTCTGATGGTTTTCAATAAATTCCAAGAAGTTTAGTTTCATAAACAGCTTGAATGTTCATCATGAAGTTTAGTTTCATAAACAGCTTGAATATTCATCTTTTCTATGTTCTCTCACAATTCAGAAAGTCATTAGTATGGTAGGTTCTTCATTCTGATGGTTCTTGTGGTTCATGAGTCCTGGTGCAGCTCAATATAAATTATTTACCATATTTAAGAAGGTATTAGGTAGAACACGTATAGAAAGAATCTATAATGTCTTATATGTCAACATACGAACAAAAGGATTGGATGTAACTCAATCAAACTGGTTTCTGGTTGTGCATCATTTAACTCTAGGCTTCATCTTTTTGTCATTTCAATTAAGATGGGAAACATGACTTGTTTTTAAAATCCATTTGAGGTCAAAAATATCTTCCTCGTAGGTAAGAAATTGAGTTGTCAACATCCTTCAAGCATACGATGGATATGATCTAGGTGATGTGTGTTGACAGGTTTTGTTTGTTCAGAAAATCCCTAATGCAAAGAACCAAGAATTTACAACCTTGTCACTTCCTCCATAAAAATGGATAGTAGATAGTTTACAAAAAAATGCACATAAGGTTTTGAAACACAATTAAATGAGATAAACCAACCCGTATACAACTGGTGAAATTTGATGGCATTTTGAGAACAATGTCTAAAGATTATGTATGCCAATCATTAAAAAAAGGGTTATTTGGGATACAATCATTATTTTTGTGTGTGTACGAGTGTATTGGTGGGATTTTTTATTTTATTTATTTTACTTTTTTGGGGGGTGGGGGGCGGGCTCATAGGAGTGAAATTAACACATCACATTTACATGTCATCAAAGCTACAAGAACTTTACATAAATTGTTCAAACAACAAATGCATAATGTATCAAAAACATTTCAGAAATTTAGAGGTAACAGCTAGATCTTTTCAACTATATAGGCCCATCACTCCGGATTTTTGGATTTAATCTGAAGAGAGAGCAAAGTTAAGGGCAGATTAGGAATCTCCACCCCAGATGAATGTTGGCTCAGCGGTGATTCGCTGATGATTTCTATATCTAAAGGGAGTTGAGGGATATAGAGTATTAGAGAGAGAGAGAGTTTCACCAAGAAGTATCCAGTAAGTAAAACATTTGGATGGCTTTGACTAAATGCAAAACACGCTATTCAGAGGTGCTTCAGCTTGTTTTCGGGAAATCTAATGAGTGTGAGGACAGTGTTCGCAGAAAATAAAAAGCGTGATAGGGCCATCATAGAACCTAAAAATTGTTATAATAAGGTGTAGTGAAATACACCTTAATCCATTTTATCAATGGCCATCCTAATACTAACTATATCCACCATAGTAATGTGGTGTGCCAAATGTACCCAATAGTAATAAACCATTTCATAAACTGAGCAAAGTCAAAACTGTCTTGGCCTTTATATTAAGCCAAACATGCTATAAAAAAGAAAAGGCATTAACAACTTGATTGGATCCTTACTATTTCAGTCCCCAAAAGCAATATATTAGTTTAATTTTTGAGATTTTCTTTCCCAAACCTTCAGTTTTTTTCTTATCTGCTCCCCTTATTGGATTTCACTTCACAGTGTATCCCGCGCTTGCACTGCCATTTCCCAAAGAAAATATTCACAATCAACAAACCCATGAATCTGTTTCTTCATAAACATATTATTTTAAGCCCTTTTTTAGGCTTCGACGCCACCGGTGTGAATCACGAAGTCAATAAATTAAACATTCGAAGGCAAAGATGTATTTTAACCAAAAATCTTGAAGTATCCCACTTATTCTCTATATTTTATCATCATAAATAGAAAACGAAACAAAAATTCGATAAATTGATATGATTCCATGTGTATGCATACAAGAAATTACCTTCCACTGAAGCTGACCTGATGGACAAGAGGGGCCTTTTGCTATTGAAAATCGAAGGCGAAAAACGGAAAGAGGCTGAAGAAGAAGATACAGATGGAGTCGAATTTGATAAGCGGCAAATAGATGGTGGGCATCGCAAGGTACCAGAGAAAGCCATTGTTTTTGCCCAAATGAACGAACTCCTCAGACAAGACGACAATTCAAGAAACAATGAAGTAAAATTCTTGGATGCGTGTGTGAGTGGGTGGGTGG